GACAATATGCACTGAACTGAGAAGAAGCTACGACACTGCAACTTCCGCCGGCATGGAGCAACGGACGTTCGCTCAGTTGAGAAGGGGAAAGGATGATAGCCATTTATATTTTTTTCGGTCAACATCTAAAGACAAATATGACATTTTCGGGAGCATGTGTGTCTCAGCCGCTGCCCCTATCCCCGATTCCAGCACTCCATGCCTTACGGCTGTGCAACTCAATACACATGAGGAATTTACATCGCAATGGTCGTCTACGAGAATGCCAGTTTTGAAACGCAGGATTTATTTTTCGCTGTTTTATTCATTCAAGTGTCGTGGTGGTTTTACGACCTCGTCCACCATCAAAAACTGTTGGCTCAGCACCTGGCTGCTACGCAAGGCTTGTGGCATGTGCGATGAGCCCACTTCTGCGCTGAGTTGAGTTGACCCTCGTTGACCAGCTGCCAGGTCTCCGTTCTATACCAATTGGGTCAAACAATGTGTCGACTGTGGGGCTCCTACCCATAACGAGTTCAGCATATTTCCCGAACTAAGGAGGAAACAAAATATGTGCTTCTTCGAGTTTGATTAAAAAAAAAATATATCGATCAAAATGAAAAGCTAGTGCGATAATTCAGTCCAAGGTTGCACTGCTTCTTTGCCCGATACGGTTCTTTCTTTTTAGATAGGCATGGCCTAAATCGTCTGCCAATGGAGCCTATGCGCTTATTTTAAATCACAAGCAATTTCTTTTCTCAGGCTGATGACTATAGAGAGGAAACCACAAAGCCCCTCTGATATTAATGTCTTTATTTTCCCCGCAAGCCTGGCTTTGTATGCAAAAGAGGCCATCCTACTCCCGCCTCAGAACTGCTCCAATCCACCAAAATTCGCCGTCACCGACCGGAAAGAAACATCCCCGCTGACCCAATTCACAGCTCTAAAAGACATACCGTTTTGTCAGCTCGTCTGAAACGATGTTGGTTATGACGAAAGTTATTTTTGACGTGCAATCATGGCTGTTTACTGCAGTTCTCATGATCAAAGCGGCATGTTTATTTTGCCAGGCGTTTGCTCTTTTTACCGCAGCATTCCGCGAATTTTTTAGTCTTTCATATTCTTTAAAAGAATACTGGTGCACCAGTCCGATGCCAACACTACCTCACAGCATTCACAGCCTTGCATAGAATAAGTGCGCCGGGCACCGAAGCCGTTATTGGACACATGATGCATATAGTTCGCCTGCGTTCACTATGTTTCAAAAACGTTTTGAATTGATCACACTTCTTCTTTTTCGGACGCTGTAGAATGCATCCTTTATTCAGGGTGAGTGGATCTGTGGGTTGAATTCAGGCGCATTTGCCATACAGAAAGCAAGTGAAACATCTTTCAAAACTATGCATCTCGTCTCGCCTCGAATCTATTTTCGTAACGCATATATTCTAGTTCCAAATCTTATAGTGCCATATAATCGTCGCCTAAGCCTACAATGTGGGGCTTTAGAGCCACCTACATTATTTAACTTTGTGACCAGATCTTCCGTCCAAAGGTGAAACCCCATATGCTCATTTTCGGTCATGTTGCGTTTTCCATACCATCTGTCTGGCCTACTCATGCTGAATTCGGATATTGAAACCAATAGTTGAAATGTTTACGGCTGTTAAGCTAAAAGAAAGGGCTACAAGTTTGCGAAAATTTCAACTGATTGTTTAACTAACCGAATTCAGCAGGAGCAGACGAATCAGATGATATAAATAATGCAAAATCGCCCCAAATTACCTTATGGGGTTCTGCCTTTGGACGGCAGAGACATCATCGGTATGATTAAGGTTTGATGATAATTCCTTTCTTGCCGCGCTCATGTACGGCCCAGTGTAACATTAGCCTTGATTTCTGATCAAACATGACATATCGCAAGCGTCGATATCCATCTTCATATCCAATAAGTTGATACCCAATACCTATCTGATATATTTCCAAGAGCTGCTCAACGTCGTATTCCGTATTTTCGTAGCATGCATAGTTCTCGAAATAACAGGAGGCATCTCTAAAGCGCTAGCTTGATTCCTTTGACCTGATTTGACCGGTCAACAGTCACATTTGCCATTTTCAGACGCTCCTATCTGATGCCCCTTGCGCGAACTTATGATGCCGTCTTCTACGTAGTGTCGTAGGGCGATGGTGGAGGAACTGCCGTTGTACGAGGGTTAGAACACCGTCATCACAGGCCAGGCAATTAGCAGAGGTATCTGCGCGGGTGTCGCACCTATGACGTGGTGAGACAACTTGAACCCCTACTGTCATGATTCTATCTTACGTAGCGCGTCTTAAGTTGAGTTCTATCGAAGTTTTTCATTTATTCACATTACATGTGAGCGGGTAAAACTATGTCGTTACAAACAGGATTCACTTGTCTTGTACGGGAGAGAGCATGAGCTGAAAGCAACATCATGGGTTGGTCCTGGGATCAGAGAGGTGTACAAATTCATGACCCCTACCGCGATGCTAAAACTATATCCGGATGCTGTAGCACAGCATCCGGATATGGGCACCCCTCCCAAATTTGGCCCTGAATCCGCCCGTATGATCCACCCGTATCCGCCCCTGGGTGACACTGGGCGTCTCACGCGATTCTGGGCGCTTCGCTAAGGCAGGGGAGCAGCACCACTCACATTCAGCTTGGCATTCGTTGCACGATACTTGGTCGCTATTTCCTCTTCCACGACTGAATAATTCGAGACTTTTCTCGCGTTCTGTCAGGAAGGGATGCATTATTGATAAATAACATTTTCCACCATTCAGCGAGCCTGGCCTGAACTATGATTAGCTATTCAAATTCATCTCCACTCCACCTTGCTCGAATTAGCGATCAGCTAGTTCAAACAATCTTCCAGTCTGTTTGCTGTGCTGCGGATCTAAGGCTTGTTATCAGCACAAATTGCAAGTTACGATAATAACCGAACTGAAAGCCTCCAATTGAGTACCCTTTGATATTTCTCAGTCAACAAGAAGCATAAATTTGTACTCTACCACTCATTTCTATGAACATATGTCACTGCGATAGGGATGTAGGAAGTTTTCAAGCTGTTTTTATTTTAGCGATTCCAAATAAGACACTTATTCACGGGGACGGAAGCGCATTGGCTCCTGTCACGCACCAATCAGCACAAATGAAAGGCCTTCAGTTACCATATCTGGCATGCCCTTACGACAGCCGGTCAGCGTGGGCTGGAACCCCCACCAAAGCTGAAATGCATCAACGCCCTAGATGAACCCAGCTCAGTTTGCCTCGACCTCACACGGCCCAGCTCAGTTTCGTCTCGCTGAGGGCCACCTCCGTCTGGGCTTGTCTGACTCGGGACGGCAAGTGACCGGGAGAGAGCTTTCTCCGGACCGCTTCTCTCGTTCTCACCAGCACAATCAAGACAACGCCCCTGTCCAGATGAAGATAGCAGCCGAGATGAATGCGCCCGCCAGACAGCATCGTCCGCGGATCATTTCTCAGCAGGGCGAGCCGGGCCGCAGATGTGTCGTGATAGCGGAGATTTCGAATTAGCCCTGTCCTGGATCGGGTGGCGCTTCAGTGGGCCTGTGGCTTACCCAGAGCTCTGCGTCGCTTCAGTGCCGCGCTCCGGTAACATTAACGCCACATCAAGCTTACAGTCTTTGGGTCTGCATTTCCATCGGTATTTTCTTATAAATGATTGCGTTGCCCATTGTTTGTAACCGTCTTGATGTGTTAGCCGTGATTCTTTGAAACCATATGCCCGCGACCTCAACCACCAACAATGAAAACGTCCTTCGCTGAACACCACACCAACATTAAAGGGAGTGTTCCGCATTTATGTGGGGTTTTGGACTGAAACTGCCATCTTGAAGACCTGTCGGTGCCGTTCACAATCCTGCCCTTCTGATCAAAGCCCGTCTAGTTTCTGACCTACACGCACTCGTAAATGGGTTGAGGTGTATTGGGAAGAGTATTTCAAAGTCACCTTGACATTCTTGACATCACAGTAACATCATTCAAATCCTGCCATTATTCCATGGGTCATGCGGCGTTCAAGGTCAAGAAAAATATCCTTATCGAGGCGCTCACTTCTGGCGTTTGTGAGCACCGTTTCCAAATATAACGGCCGCCAATTGGCACTCAATCAATGTTGTGCAAGGTACGATGACGGGCTGAAACCATAACGCATTGAAGAGTAGATTTACTAACACAGAATTGTGCTGTCTGGAGCAGTTTTTCCGCCTAAAAAATATACCAAAAGCTATCAGTGAGCTTGTTTCATCACGTCTGATGCTCGGTTTAATATCTTCACATGTGAAGCATTCCCGTTACTGGGTGGTGTGACATCTGAACACACCTAACCGATACATTCCGAGGCAGGCTGATGGCGCTCTCCGCGACACATTTGCCCTTCGGGTTTAGTAAAGCGAATTACTGTTAGCCTTACATATCTTAATGGGTCAGCTCGAACTGCGTGTAAGGCTGCCTGTTTCCATTTATCAAAAGACTCTGGGATGCCTTCTTTAACCATTTCCATCTCATTCTTTTCTTGCAAGCCACTGCATTAAACGCGTGGACGTGGTTGCATAACATCATCTAATTTCGCCCCGTGCTTTCCCCACAAATGCGAGTGATATGTCGACGAAAAATGTGTTTTTCCTCATGATGAACAATCATCGTTACACAGTCCATCGAAGGCGCTGTGCGCCCGCAAGAACGACACCTCTTCTCTTTCACGCGCTGTCACGAAAGTTCCCCCTCCCCGATGTGAGGCCGGAGGAGGGGACGTAACTCCAACGCCAGCGGGGTATGAAGGGGAGGGGGTGGAGGTGTGCCTCTTCCCCTGCTCGATTCGCGTTTCTCGCGCCACTTGGTGCGCTCCTCCCTCCTCCGCGCCGCTCCCCGGCTCCGCCGCCGCGGGGGCCCTCCTGGAGCGTCAGTGGCGCCGTCTGGCGGCGGCTGGCGGCGCGAGCTCCGCGGCGGCGGCGTCAGTGACGGCCAGTGTGGCGCTCGCAGCGGAGGAGTCGGGGTGCGTGCGGTGCGTCGGTCGGTCGCTGGGGTGTCGGACCGTATGGCGCGCGGCTCTGGTTGCCGGCAGTGATGCGCTGTTGAGCGAGGAGCGGCCTCAGTGGACCATCCTGGAGCAGGCGGACGGTGGCGCGATGCGTCCGCTGGCGGTGTGCGCGCTGCTCGTGCTCCTGACGGGATGCCGGGCCAGCGTCAATCTGTGGGTCTCCAAGTCGGAAACGCGCGCTCTGATAGGTAAGGAAAACGCTGTATTTTGTCAATCTCGGGGCATGTCCGCCATGCCAGCCTACATACCTGGGGTGTATTGCAGTCACAGCGCCTCAAGTCAAACAGGAGGTTCGTTATAAATATGTATTACTCCCGTTCCAAACCCATGCAATTTTTGTTGTGCACGTGCAAATCATAGCTAATTGCACACGATTGTTGAAAGATAGACGTTTTGCATTCTTTCCTGAGCTGCTCGCTCTGCCATAACGATACATTCCAGGCGCATCTTGCGACTTTTGCATGGAACGGCATAAATTTTAGACCGTCTCTATCTGGATCGTTCAGACTGCGTTGGTCAAAATTCCAGCTATACGCACCACTGTGCGAGCCCATGAGGCTAAAAGCACATTTGTGACACATCATGCAACTCGATAGCAAGACGCTTAAAACAATTGAAAGACATTTTTTCATGGTACAATGTTCTTCCTTGCGGTGTAATTAGTAGGTTGAGGTGAAGTATGGGAACACGGCTTTTTTAAGCATGCGACCTGCAGGAAAAGCATGTTTACTCAGTTCCGTTAACTTCAGGCCCAATTGTACCGCAATACGTAAATTACTGCCGCTGTAGTATAATGCAAATGTACCTTAAAGATAAAATTTTGAGTTATTGGTGTCTGAAAATTGCCCTTGATGGTAACTTTCAATGCCGGTGCCATTGGAAGCCACCAGTCGTAAATTCCAGGACATAATGCGGTCTTTTGTGAGTGATCCAAATTTAGTAAGCGTTGCAAGTTTTATCCACGAATTGTTGTGCGATGTCAACGTTATTTGATTAAAATACGGCGATGATCATACAGATAAAATTATCGTGTAGCATAATGCCAGCAGCGAAAATGATGCTATCAATGTGGATAAAGCTCCTCTTACCACTTCAACAAAAGCGAACAAGATGTCATGGGCCGAATGGTTGTTTTGTCTATTTGACCTGCACACCTCGCTGGGTCAAGAGAACAATGCATCTTTGACTGCGATTGATACTCGTTCGTAATACATTAGGGTTGTTCAAAAATACCTAAATTGCACTGTCACTTGTGATTATGAATGTAGCCGTGACGCACGCATCACCTGCGCGCGTTACACAATTTGTTTTTTACTGGCCGATACCAGTATTGACACGTGCTTATACCGTAGCATGACAGTGTAACTGCAAGTACGGGTGCAGGAGGGAGCAGAGCCATGGCCAGGTTGCGCGGCCTTTTAACGGATAAAGCAGGAAAACTAAGCAGCACATGACTGAAAATCAGTGAAAATTTAGACAAGTTTCGTGACAGGGCGCATCACTTAAAACGCTCCTTCGATGTGAAGTGAAGTGAAAATAAGGACGCCTTTGAGCCGTGGACTCCAAAGCTGGCCTAGGTCCCTCTCCCCTGGCCGAGTTCTGTATCCGCCTTGTGTAGTTGGTACCGGAACATCATAACCAAGGCGCTGCAGACCCTCTTGTCTGTTCCTGATACCCATTACCCAACGCAACGTCTACTATTCTGAAATCGATGCGGCCGCCGGCCGGGTGCAGCCCTTATGCAGGAGCGTGCCGTGTCGGAGTCGGGTTTCTCCAGAGGCCGGTGTCCTGTCAAAGTCGTCACGCGAGCCGCCCGCGTCTGCCGCGCGCGGCGCAGACGCGTGTCAGGCAGCCGGACGGCATCGCATTCAAGTCGTTCAGAGCCAGGCGGCGCCAGTGCGCCAGCAGCCGGCTCTCACCCCTTTCCCAACCCTACGCCCTTTGGTTCCATTTGCTGTCAAACCGTCTGCGTAGTGGGTTAGCCTGTTCTCGGCCTGCCTCAACCCTTTCCACTTTCGTCTGTCTTCTACGCCTGTCGTGGCTGCGTGCATCTGTCGCGTGTGCTCTTTCCTTTCTTGTCCGTGTACGCTATTCTTGCCCCCTACCGCTGTCCCCTCTGCTCGCGTCTGTCATGTCCGCCTTCGCCTGTCCAGTTTGCCTACGGCGGTTTTCGCCGGCTGTCGTCTCCAGCGCCTGTCCGATCCGCCTAGGGCTGGTCTGGGCTCCTCGCTTGTTGTGTCCTGGCGTTCCGTGTCCGCTACTGCCGTGTCATCGAATCCTGTCTGCCATCACTGTCCTGACTGCCCGCTTCTGTCCAGTCTACCTGTCCGGTTTGACGGCGCCCTGGTCAGCCTGTCCCGTCCACCCGGGCCTGTGCCGTCGCCTGAGCCTGTCCGGACCGTTTCCGCCTGCCGCTCACCAGATGGCTCTGTTCGCGGCGCCGACTCCGCAGGGGTCAGAAATAACAAGGAACGGCCACCGGTGCGAATTTTCGTCAGATGTGAGGCCGGCAGCGGTAAAAACGGACAGCGAGAGCGACGCGTTCGCAGCGCGGCTCCCAGCGGCGCGCGGTGCGGCGTGCGGTGCCTCGCGCGGCGGCTGTCGGTACCTCAGGCGGCGCGGACGCGGCCGACGGGGCGGCACGGCGGACGCTGGGGCGGCTCCCGAGATTCATTGAGCTGACATCACCGGAAGGAAGCGGGCTGTCAGCTGATCCACTGACTGGCTGGCTGTCCGGGTTTAGTTCACGGGGCCGCTTTAAGTCCTAGCCATGCCGTGCGGGCGGAGGAACGCGGCTGAGGACTCGCCTTCAGATCGCGTCTTTAATGTTTGGCATAGGACGGTGCATGTCAGGGTTAGGATGAAAATCTCCCGAGTGCTGTAACGTTCTGATGTTGCATCCTGAAAAGCGCAATGTTAAAACGGGATTGATTCCTCCTGTGCAGGCCTGCAGAGGAGGCAAACTGGATCTTTCCGTATGTACAGACTAGGGTAAACGAAGCCTGATACTACCTCCCAAATGTTCAATTCAATGACCTGGCGTTTTTCCCGGTCCTTGTATAGTGACCGACAAACGGAAGGTCCGCCCGCCGCTTGCACCGTTAATTCAGCGCCAAATGAACGGGCTTGTTTCCACAATGCCCATAGAATCAGCGCAAGTCCCGTTGTTCGCCGCCACACGGGTCCACCTGTGCCTGGCGGTTTTCAACACTTGCCCTGCCCGGCTGGACATGCGCCCTGTCCGCGGCGCTGGCCTGGCCGGACACGCTCCCTATCCAGCCCACCTGCCCTGCCCGCTCCGGACACGCGCTGTGCCCGGGGCACCGGCCCGGCCGGACACGCGCCCTGTCCGAGCGGCCCGCCCGTTTCCGGTTGGCGCAGTCGTGAATAATCCCAGCGTGACGGCCGGGGTTGGCCGCCGCCGCCGCCGCCGGCACACCGGCAGCGGCCGGTCCGACAGCACAGGTGCCGCAGCGCCGCCTCACCTGCGGCCTGCTGGACAGATGGAGGGGCTCCTGGCCGTAACCGCGCCACGCATAAACCGGTTCTCGGCGAAGCGAACAGGGCTGGGTGGTCGCGTTCGATCCGAAACGAGTCTGCAGCGAGCGTGCGGACCACTGCGGGCCGCGCGGACCCGGCGGCGGTGGTGCAACGGTCCGGCTGTGGTCCAGCAGTGAGCGGACCCAGCGGACCGTGGTCCCGCGGCTCACGTATTGCGCTCGGCACGTCGGGGCCGGTTACGCTCAGGCGATTCGTGGCGCCCGCCGTGTGATGACAACACGCACGCAGAACGAGTGGGATGGGCGTGGTCGGACCCGACGCGCCACGCTGCGTTGAGGCTGATATCGGGCTTAGGCCGCTCTGAGGCAAGCGAGAGGTCTGCTCCGCTGGTCCCGTGCCCTCCCTCGAAAGACGACCCTGCGATGGCGCAGCCCGGCGCGTGGCATCCGTGCTGAGCACCGCTGGCTGGAGCTGACAATGCAGATGTCGTCACATGCGACAGACGCTTCCGGCATCAGCATCATACAGGTGCACCATCACCCGCATCAGCACCTTACAGGTGCTGATGCAGTCGATTCAGGAAGTGGTGGGTGGGCTCGTGTGGGGCGATTCTTCAGCGGACTTTCTGGCACGTCGGCGCGCCCTGATTTGATGAATGAACAGACCTGTTCGCACTCCACTTCCCCGCAAAGAAATCGCGTCCATCTATTACTGCGGCGGCGGCTGCCACGCTGGACCATACATCACCGCTCATACGCCTGTAATTGCTGGCCCGATTGAAAGGTACGGTGCGCACGTGGGGACCGGCCTTGTTGGCCACGTGTACTCGAAACCCGAGGAGGCGCACGTGTTTGTGCAGCTGGGGTACGTCCGCCTCCGCGTGCGACGATCTGAATGAAACGCCCGCTAAATTCTTATAAGGTGAGCAGGCAGTTTGAAAGAGGATGAACTGTCTTACATCAGCGACACCGTGCTGTTGCAATCGAGTTGTTGAATGCCTTATTGATGTTTATATATGTCTCACGGGGTTTCGGAGCTCTGGCGCTATGTCAGCGGCAGGTTTCATGCACGGACCGGACCGGAACCAGGGCCGTCTCGAAGCTGCACGCATGGGTGGCACTGAACTGTGTTCACTCGCTACGCTTTTCAAACCAGCGTCTCAATGTTTGCTGCTGCATGCATGCATTTGCACGAACTGCGATGCAATACAGACCAAGCATGCAGAAGCTCAACTGTCAGCCGATGCTCTGCAGGCAACTCGCGGTAATACCGTGTTTATAGGTGCAGACGTTTAGATGTTAATTTTGCGGTGAGTATGCGCTGCGGTTGATGAGCCTTTGCACTGTGGGGCTAACTCGCTTGCCTACGTGACCGGACAGCTGAATAAGTCACTTGGCAGACTTTCACTGGGTTGAAAGGAGCTTTCAGGGCACTTGACACTTTGTGCATAACAGCCCACACGGCGCGATTTTCCAAAGCTTCTCTAACGTTGCTTATCGAGCAGTTAGTTCAAGAAATCTAAGGGCGTCTTGCACTTTGTTACATGGCAGTTTGCATCGACACAGGTTTCCCAAACGTCGCTCATCAAACACTCGGTTTGATCTAGCATTTGGATTATCACGAAGTTAAGCTCATGCATTGGCTGCCAGAAATATGGCGCTCTCGGCGACTTCCGCATACCTACCTGTCCAAATAAATGAGAAAATTCCCATTTTCACTACGTCTGACACAGAATAAAAACGACGACGTGGCGGTGCGGGTAGCGGACCATTCATCTTGCCTCCCTTCGACGGTCTCCGCAAGGCGCGCATCCTGCCGCCGCGATGGTGGAAATGATTGCGACGGCACCAGAAGCGGCGGAAAACATCAATAACCGCCCGGAAAATACGATCGCACAATTACGCCCCAACCGGACCCGGCCCGGTGCAGTCCAGCCCGGACCAGCGGGGCGCTGCGTTTCGCGCAGCGCGTCGGGTTGGCCACCGTCGCCACGAAGCAGTACCGAAAGTAAGTCAACGCGGCGTTCGGCGGGCTGTGGCCGTTTTGCGGTGGGCGCAACCGCACCGCGGCGTCGGCCAGCGGCTGCGTGTGACGCGTCCCGACAGCGCCGGAGACGGGCTCCGGCCGCACATGGGCGCCGCGGAGGCACCGGCCCACTGTTGGGACAGCGGCGCCACAAAGCCGCTGGTGTGTGTACAGCGGGCCGTCCAGGCGGTGTCACGCGCATGTTAACAGCTGGCAAGAACAATGCGGTGATCATGAGATGTTAAACGTCGCTTGCCCGTTGCTTTTTCTTGCGCGGGTGATCGGCGCTAGTTTTTTGTCGGACGTTTAGCTCCTTTGTGCTTGTGTGTAGGCGGTCTGTGGAAATCACGATACGCCGTCATCATTCGGAGAAACGGTTGCTTTTATGTGAGTTGATCGGTCGCCGTCAAAAATTTCTGTATACGTCCCTCATTTTTTTCTGGATTTTCAGGGACGCCAAATTTGACCACTTCTTATCAAAATACTGGGGCTGCTGACATAGTACGGACGTAATTCCCATGTCTCACTAAGTACCTGATTTTTGTGGATTTTTGTGTGAAAAGTTTCTATGCGAGCTCCACTCAAAATTATTCCAACACTGTCTGTCCTCTGGTGGCGAGAAATCTTCCCTAAACTGTTCAACAGATGAGTGTCTCGAAACACTACGCCACGCGCTCGGATCTGCACGGCGGGGGTCCGGAGCTTCCCTCTGCCGTGCCCGCTCCTCTTCCCCTGAGGGTGCCGGTGCGGTGCCCCGCCGGCCGTCCCTCACGGGTCTGGTGCGGACTTCCTCCGGGCCGCGGCGGCTATGCGTGCCAAATGGCTCGCGCCAGCTGCGGTATGTCGTTAGCGTGCCGCCGCATCACTTACCCGGCGCCTCGCGACGTGTCCGTCTGGTGGCGTGGCATCCTACACTTTAACACCTTTATCCTCCGGCGGCACGGTTATTTACGGCGCCCTTCCGCGAGCTGCGGGCCGCTTTGTGGCCGCCGCGGGGGCGGCTCACCCCCGCTCCTCGGACAAAGCGTCCGTGTCATACCGAGCCGTGTATTTGTAACGGATCGGCGAAGCGTTGGCATACGTCTTGTTACCAGGTGGGGCGCGCTGGCCTCTTGGATACGTTTCACTTAGGTTTTATGTGTCAGCGCTGGATACCACTCGGAAATATTAAACGGCTCATGGCCGGGGCCGTCCTCCACGCTCCGGTCGCTGCCCCATACAGCGGTGTAGCACCGTGGCGCTCGGGCAGCGGGTCGCTGCCTTGCGTGCGGAGTGTTCTGGCGCAACAGGTGCGTCCGACGGTCGCACCCCGCCGCCCGGCCGCCTTTTGTGGCGGCGGCCCACGCCCACTCCGATTGATCGGTATTCTGACACGCCACTGCCGCTCGGGCGCCTTTTTCGCCGAGCTTCATCATGGTATGTCGCCACTGGGCTGCGTCGCTGAAGGATTGTTTTAACAGCGGGGTGGGCTGGTCGGAATCTGTCGCGCTCGGCCGCCACTCCCAGTAAAGATGGGGACGGCGGGGCACCGCCGCCCGACACGTGGCACCCGACCGCCGCCGGCGCACGTGTGGATCAAAGCGCCACGAGGGCCACGTGCTCGTGGTGGTGACATACCTGACGGCGCCGGCAAAAAACGCTCCGTGGAAGTGAAACCTGCGTACAGCGTGCATGTCCCGCAAAAACGCGGCGGCAGCAAGGTCGCAGGGTGGAGCTCGCTGTCACGGGGTGGGCTCGGCTGGCGCTGACGGGGTGGCGCCCTGCTCGCGGCTGCCGTCACCACCCCTGTGCCCGGCCTGGGCTGGTGGCATGCGCCATCAGCGATGACGACGCTCAGCTCTGACGGCCTGTCCGTGGCCGGGCGGTGCCCGCTTAAGAAAAACTGGGCCGTTTGTACCGAACTGGGCGGCGCTGCTGCTGGCGCCCGATGAACAATGCAGGCTATCAAGTGGCGGAGGGCTTGCCTGACTACAGCGAGGGCACACGGCCAAACTGCCGGGTCATCGGCGTCAGCACGTTAGTGTGGGCAGACAACACGCAAAGTAAAGAAAAGCAGTGTTTCTGTCAGTCGAATATGCACACTTGCCTCCAATTGCGTGCTGTTACACCAGCGTGCCGTGCCAGTGCCAGACGGACGAATCCGTCCATGCTCCGTCCGTCGGCAGACCGCATCAGACTGAGCGCGCCGACATCCGATCGCACCGATCCGCTCCACCCCGGTAAGCCCGTCATCTCACCTCAGCTAGTCGCCAGCTCAGCGCTCGCTCAGGGCGCTCTTGAGCCGCAGCTACGCCCTGACGGGTGCAGCCCTAAGCACCTTTCCTGTTAATCTGACATGTGTGATGTCCTGGACGAGGATGTCTTCATCACGGGCCAGCTTAGCGCTGCGAGGCGGCTGGCCCGGGCGACCGTCACAACAGGCTGCCGAGCCGGGCCGGGCCGGCGCGGAGCCGCCGCGGCGCCGACCGGCTCCGGAGGCGGGCCCGCCGGCTTGAACGTGACCGCAGCGGCCGCCAGGCTCCGGTTTCATCGCCCGGTGGCCGACGACGCCGGCCGTTACTCGCCCTATTGTCTTGTCTGAGGGAGGCGTCGGATGCAATAGTGCACGTGACGCCAGCCGAGCCTCGCCGGCGCCTGGTTCGACGCGTACGGATCGCCGCTGTCGCGATCGATGGTTCCCTCCCTCCGCCCGCACTGATGCCCGCGAGGTACTCCGTCTGCGTCGAATTTGCGCTGGGTCCGCTTGACCCTGAACCAATCGCTGTCAGGAGAGGGGAAAGCCGGAAAATTTACGCCGGGAACGCACAAAAAAACTGAACACATTCCGGCTCAGCGAGCGGTCGTCGCCCCAATGTAACGCATTGCCGCTGATTGAAATACGCCAGAAGGGTCATGAGGGGGGGGGGGGGGGCGTTAATGCCGAACGGCCGCCCGGGTCATCGATTATCACTCCGATTTGGCGACGGCAGCACGGTCGCGGTGGCCCCGCCGGCGGATGTGGTAATTAAAGACGGCCGCGTGGGCGGGCGCGCCCACCAAACGCGGAAACGAGCCTGCCACACGCTGGCATAATTGACTTAGTTCGGGCCGGCGGCCGCCGTTGACACAGGTCTCCTTCGATGTCTGCCGTCCCCGTGTCCCCCCCGCCCCCGTCGATTATGGACCATACAAAGCATGCAAATGGCGACAAACTGGCACGCGTCCGCTGCGAGTTATCCGTGCCGGGATGAACGGCGCCAGGCCAATCGTACGGTGATGGCCAGCCGAGGACAGGCCATTGGCGGAGCCGTCTGCTGCAATGCGCCGCGTTTGTCACGCAATAAGGCGGACGTGCCGCGCCATAGAATCAAATGCCTGCTTTGATCGGCCAGCGCAGCGACTTTGCGCTAAGCGGGCCGAAGCTATGCTGTGCTCTAATGGCCAGGACTGTGTGATGCTCTGAAGGTGTGAGTTATCATATCGCTGATGTGATATCGCTTATCCGATTTGATGGTTTGGCGTAGGGTAGTTTTTCGGGATTATTTTTGTTTGGATACATGACGTACCTGATTTCTGTTAACCAGAAAACACTAGGTCAATTTTGAGCACTCTTTTCTCATTACTTTTACATGGAGTTTTACTGGAACTACCCAGTGAGTCGGTTCATGTTCGTCAGCATGTTGGCTCTGACCCAACATCGACTCCGTACTTCTCAATATTTGATGAGAAACATCCACTGCCTGAACGAAAATGGTTAATCGATGTCATCATACGTTATCTAATTGCCGAAATTACGTCAAACCGTCGAAATCCATGATACACTCATCACCATGTGATGTTTTCCCTATGTTCCAGGTCTGGCCACAGAAATATTCTACGTGCAGGAAGGCGTCATCAACGAATACGCCATGAACTTCACAGTGGTCGTGCCGCCAAACATATCCGACCTGCACTTCAACTGGGAAAGCACTAGCAGGAAGGCGGTACGTACGCGCGGCTGCCGGACGACGACCGGCTCTGTTGGAAGTGACAGCTGAATTGTCGCGAGCTGTCACTGGTGATTTGTCAAGACACATGCGTGCGAAACCCGGACGGGGAAGAATGCGCACGCTCGCCTCATGGGTACACTCCCTTAAAATTCGCCATTATTTTTCGATCCCATCGATCGTCAGTTGTCGGGTCTGGCGGCCCGAACCAAACGCGCATATTTTTGCCTGTCTGCGTAGTGATTTCACGAACTGTCCCTGCCAATTAGTCATGCTATATTGGCGGTGCGCTGCACGGTCAATCATTACTCACGTTGCTGACACCGGCAACGCACACAATCCGGCCATAAAACCACAAAGCAGGACTAATGATGTCGCGATTGCGGAAGCCTGGCGTTCAGGGAACGGCCACGCAAAAAGCCCGACGAGAGTTGAAATATATGACTGGCCCCGTACTGTTTTGACGGCGCACGCTTCGGACCTGCCCACCTACTGACGCCCGGCTACGCCCCGGGCTCCTGGGTTCGATTAACCACGGGTTATTTATCACGCCCAGTCAATTGGTCTCTGATAGCTCCAGTCCACCCCTCGCACACTGCGGGGCGGTCTGACCTTGCGGCCCGAATATTTCCGTGCGGAAATGTGCTGTTTTACACACAAATTCTGAACGCTGCGGGTGGACGATAAAAACGTGGTATCCCTTTGTAAGGGACGCGAGTAACGCCCCAACAGAGCATTCTGCGGCTTGAGGGCGCAGCACGGGAGACATGCGAGCACGCTTCGGTGCGTGCGCCCTGTGCTGACCGTTGGCAACGGCAGTAAGAGCAGTAACGGGCAACTCATGTTAAGACAGATAGCACATAACGTCAGTCAAGTGACGCGAAGCTCTGATGTTGGGGCCGGTGCGAGCGCATGCTGCAGGCCTCGGTGCAAGTGACGGGCGATTTTGCACACCTCCGTGTGCTTGTGTGATGCACATACACTGCGCTTAGTTTATTTCAAATACTTCACTGCTTGAGCGTCAAACTGCGTTGTTAAGCTTAACCCCAGCAAGCGATTTAATAAAATGACCTACAACAATGATTGTTGCCAATGAAACAGTTCAGCAAACCGGTCGGATGCAATCTGTACACTTCCCAACGCAGCCATTACGTTGCTGGTCACTGCAGCCATCCCACGCTGCTCTTAACTTCATTGCGTGCACTAAGCCCACACAGCCCATGTTGGGATGTTTGCTGTGCAAACACGCGGTCTGGAGCACCAAGTTTCAGAAAGAGCGGTTAGACCTCTTTCCAGGATTCCAAAGCGACTAAGGGACCCGTATCAGCGGCGGCAGTCGGTGCCGTCTGTCCGATCCAGCGAGGGCGACGTTCAAAGGCCAGCGAGCGGCGGGCCTTTACGCCGACAGAACATCACAAATTGGCCTCGTTCCGAAGCATCTAAGCGATCGCACGCCATCATCGATTGACCTCCGCGACTCGCTCGGAATCTCGCTCAATCGCCCAGAATCTCACAGAAATGACCGGGCGTTGGTGGCGAAAACGGAACGCGTTTGAAACGCATCGCGACGGCGCCGGGCCCCTGCGGGTGGCGCCATCACCGGCCTGAGACATTACATCGCCCTGAGCCCGCCCAATCCGAGGCCAGATGCACCATTGTGTGGGCTTTCCATTGCGTCCGGTCTGGGTGCGCTCGAATCCGTCTCCGGTTTCAAGCTCGAGAAATGGCGCGTCGCTGCATTGTCGCCGGCTGGTGACGGCTGTTCCACCAGGCCGATGTGGACCCTCCCACCCACGCGGTCCCTCGAGGATGGCGATTGCACACCGAGGCTCGCGAGGCCATCCCTCTGAGCTTAATCTTGGACGACACTTCTCTTTTTTTACCCATTGGCCCCTGTCAACGAAGCGGGTCACCTGCCGTGCCCATTACACTCGAGTGCGTGTGTTCGTGCGCCGGACAGGTCTGGACGGGCGTCTTAATTATTGCCGCTGGTCGCCCTGAAAGAGACACATCCTTTGGCAGGTGCGCGCAGACGCTCATCTGTAAAGAGCGTCCACGCTCTCTGCTGCGGTGCTGAGACACAACATCCGCGAGTGGTTCTGGTCCCGGTCGCGACATGCGGGACCAGGATAGATTTGTTTCATGTGGCATCGAGCCTCTCTGTTACTCCGGAAGCTGAATTAAATAATCTTGTTTTCGAATAGCCAACAGCACTCGTATATGAGGTGTTGAGCTGTGAGCAAATTTTGATATCATCATGCGTTTGGACTGCTTTGCTATCATTTCCTGATATTGGTTATAAGTGTTGATAGAAATACGCTGTTAGTAATAGCAATAATTTACTTAACATGTTGTACTGATTTCCAATCGGAATTTAGTGCAACGTGTACAAAGCTGCACCATTTTTCATCTTCCTTGGCACACTGTCTCCACCGCGGTCTCCCAACGTCTCCAGCGCGTGAATGCTTGACCCCCCCCCCCCCCCCCTAGTTCTTCGGCCGATCCCACCGCTTTAATCCGTGCCGATCACATCATTCCCCATCGGCGCCATGGGGTGCGCGATGGCCGACAGGGAGATTGCGTCATCCACCTGACCCCACCGAGACACTCCTAAAACGGGTTAGTGGCGTGATGGATAGGGCCCACCAGCCGGGCAGCGGGCCCAGCCAAGACTGCTCCACCCCCGGCAGTCCGAGCTCCGCTCCTGCCGTTGGAGTGATCTGAAACACGAGCCGGTGCATATAGACAGACGCTTTCCCGCGAACTTCCCGCCTGTGAGATACGAGCTGCTTATTCAACTGGGCTTTATCGGGATGCGAACGACGGGCTGGTTGGCGGGGTTCCTAATGTTACCAGTTGGCAGCATGAGACGGAGCAGGGTGATAAGAGCAGGGATCAAGGACTGCCACTCACGCCGTTTGAAGATTTAGTCCGATGCTCCACGCTTAAATGACTGGTCAAGTGCCTGTGGAAGGCAATGTTTTGGTAAACCGCACTTGTTTGTTTTTAAGGTGGCGTACGACATTTCACTGGAAGTGGCCAACCCGTCGGTGCTGGACCGCCCGTCGCTGAACATTCCATCCAGCGGGTTGGTGCCCAAGGACCACCAGCTCTTCACCGTGCACCTGCCCTGTCGGCCTGGCGTCACCGCCGAGACGGACGTGAGGCTCAAGATCAGCCTGCTGCTGCCCAGGCAGCCGCCGCTCCGGCGCAAGAAGACCAACACCCTGCTGGTGTTTCGCCGCGGGCGCGTCTGCCGCGCGGAGGTCACGCCGACGGTAGCGCCGCTCGGCGGCGGTGACGTGATGTTGGAGGACGCAGCCGGCCCCACCCGGCTGGGCGACCCGCCGGCCGACGACGAGACGCCCTCCTCTGGCGTGCTGTATATGGCCGTCGGCAGCTCGTGCGGCGTCATACTGGTCATCATGATCATCCTGGCCGTGGTGCTCTCAAGGAACAGCGCCGCCAAACGCAGGAAACGCGCCCTCAGGTAAGCACCTTCCACGCCGTCAGATTGAGCAAGAATGTCTCGTTGAAATCCCGAGTTTGATCGTGTCCCGATACGTAGTTTCCCGGTCCCAAACACGGCTGGGGCGAGAGCCGGGCGGCCCGGCGCGCCGTCCAGATAAGACATCATCGCCGCGTTAGCATCCATCTCGGACACAATCGGCCGGGCCATCGGGTCGGCGGGCTGACGGCTCTTCAGGCCGGCCTCCCGCGGCCGTCACCTTCGCGCCGCGCCGGCCGCCACCCTCGCGCCGCGCCGGCCGTCACCCTCGCGCCGCGCCGGCCGTCACCCTCGCGCCGCGCCAGCCGTCACCCTCGCGCCCGCCGCGCCAGCCGTCACACTCGCGCCGCGCCGGCCGTCACCCTCGCGCCGTAGCTGCGGCGCGCCGCCTTTGAAGCTCAACCGAGCGGACACCCCAGTCTCGGCGGCGATCGCCCGTCGGCCCTTCGTCTCCTCTCCGCACCATTGTTGTCTGGCGAAGCGGTGGTCGTCAGGAGCGACTCGGGCACCGGGGACAGGTGGAGGCTGAGGTCCGCTTCTCGGCCATCGTTAGTATGTGATGCGAGAGACTGAATGATGTCCCCTCTGATGTCACCGGCAGTAATGGCGTTGGCGCGGCGTCGTTGTTTCCTACCCTCGTAGGTAGACGTTGGCAGGGGGCATCCATCCATCGACTGATCAGGACGCGGGCCGACAGCCTTGGCGGCCGCAGGATGTTTACGGCAGGTGGCAGTGGCACTATCTGAATGGTCTGATGCCGATGCTAGATAGAAACTCAAATAACTTTCCACCGCCGCGCGCATCTTGTTAGCGTAACAGTAAATTTAATGAATGCAGCCCCACTGCTACTTTCGTCCATCGTTTGAAATTGCCGCCACTTACGTCTACAGACACCAGCAATTTTGTACTTTACTGTTTGAAAGTAGCGTGGTGCTGGAACGCAGCACCTTCCTGAAAAAAGACCAGTGGACAGGAAATGGACGTTCTGCCTGAAAGCGCAAAGGAGTTAAACGATTCATATACCACGGCGGTGGCATAACATTACTGGTAACAGCAAGCGTTGAAAATATTCTCCATTCTTGCTGAGATATTAGCGGAAACTTCAATCGATACCAGACATCCGTTTTTGAAAATCCAGACATCGCCAGGTCCGGCGACTTAGAGCAGGCTGAACCTAGATGCCAGCCAACCTTATTACGACTTCAGGTCCGAGACGATGGGGCACGACGTAATTCCGGAGTAAAACGCTTATATTAATCTCCAAATACCATGTGACTTGAGAGCAAATCTGTCGGCGATGGTTTGCATGTTAAGGCGCACGTAATTGTTCTTCACAGGGTAGCAAAGGTTGACTATGTCAGAAGGTGCTCTCTCACAATTCATGCCTGCATCCATAAAGCAATGTGTTGAAGCTGTGTGAGCAAACATGACGTGACATCGAAAACACTATTTCTATGTTAGCCCTCAGAATGTTGGTGATTGTTGATGCCTATAGCGTGAAACGCGAGCCATTAGACGACTGACATTTAACAGTACCTACTCAAGTTGTCGAATGGTCCTACTTTCAATGGAATAAAGGGAGATGCCTTGGCGGCCCAACACATTGCCATCGCTCTTGTTATGAAGCTCCATGAAACATTATATACATTTACAGCACGGCGTGTTCTTGGAACCGAGATAATATTCAACTTTTTTTCATTCCAGTGACACGTCTGGAGAGTACGACTCGACCCACCACTACATGCAAGTACCCACTCCGTCCTACTCCTGCCACTCAATCCGCTCGTCCCATCACTATGCGTCGCTTCGCCCGCTGCCCACCTGTCCGTCGTACACCAGCCAGAAGACGGTGACCACGCCGCTGGGGCAGACCATAGGTCACAGCCACAGCCTGGGCTCGCACGGCGGCGCGGCCGGCTTCGGCCAGACGCTGAGTCACAGCGTGAGCCAGGGCCTGAGCCACAGCTCTGGCCAGAGCTCTGGCCAGCCGAGCGTGGGCCACAGCTCCGGCCACAGGGTGCGGGACGTGGGCGAGCGCGTCTCGGAGCTGATGGTGGACCGGCGACGCGTCGAGCTGGATACGATGCTGGAGGAGGGCACTTTCGGCCGGATCGCCACCGGCTGGATGGCCGACTCTGACGCCGGCGAGAAGGAGAGGCTCATCATCAAATATGTGACAGGTCAGTTGCCCTCTCCATACCCAATGACTTCTGAATCCAACATTGCTCTCCTCTGATCGGTTATGACAACGTGATGTCTCGATATCGCCAAAATCCCGACACATCTTGGAGACATCTCCAGGAACACATATAGTGTTGTAGACCATGTAAATTACATGGCCAGCAATCATCACGTCAATAATCACCTCCTTCAACCATAGTAATCACAGCTAATCATCCATGGGTTTAGCGCACAACGTCGTCAAACCAACGTACCTTGTCGCCGTACCAACTTAAACTAAGCAAACAACCGTGCCAACAACGAATGGCGGGCATTGAAATCATGGTCTGGCCTATTGATAACAAGATTCCACGTCAGTCATTATAATGACTAGGTCACGCTAATGTATGATTAAGTCGTCCGTCACTAAGTGGGGCTTTAATCGCCTGGCCGTAGATTACGGACGCTTCGAATGCATGCATTTGTTCGTGTCGACCGGAATATCAAGAGTCTTGACAAGACCTCAGAGGTCACATAATCTTATTGAAATGTCATGCCAATGGTTAGTCATCGCCATCAAGTCGACCAAATCGCATCGCTGCTAATATCCGCGTACTCTTCATCAGTCAGTTTAAGCGACCATCTGATAGCGAGACGAAATGAGTGTCCATTCCGCGGCCTCGCTCACCATTTCCGAATGTACCGACACGTCCTCCCTGACCACGGTGCGAATGCTGCGAGCCTGCCCTACATCCCTCACAATGCTGAAGGAAGTCCACGGGGCCTCTCTGGCTCCTCCCGGCCTCCTCTGTAATCGGACCCGGCGCCGGTACCGTGCCGGTCGAGGAGGGACCCGACCGGCCCGCACCCGGCAGCAGCTGTGGGAGTGACCCAGCGACGGCGCAGTAACACGACGCCGTGTGTGTTTTCAGAACACGCGTCGGCGGCTCAGGTGTCGATGCTGCTCCAGGAGGGCCTGGTGTTTTACGGCCTGCGACACAAGAACCTGCTGTCCGTGCTGGGGGTGGCCGTGGAGGAGCGGGCGCCACCCCTCGTCCTCTACCCCTACGTCAAGCACTGGAACCTCAAAAAGTAGGTTCAGGAGGGTCTGCGCGATGGGAGAAGTGTCAGGGGACACGAGGGCACAAAAAGAGCAGGAGCTCAAACTTTCGTCCGTCAAAGTCACTGCGTCGCACGTGGGGACTGTGACCTCCCGTTTTTGCCAAACTGACTCATACATAAAACAGGGGTGCTTAGATTATGGACACAGATTTGATGTCACGACACCTACCGCATGTGCTATTGACAGTTTTTATCGCTGTCCGTCGCCACCTGTATCTCTCATGAGTTAAGCCATGCGAATGGTGTATTGGCAAAATGGAATGGCGCATTTGAAACCAACGAAATGACGGAGGAGACCGTGAAAGGTAGCGAACAAGTGCGGGTTCATAAAATGTCCTACGACGTATCGTAATGAAGCCCCGATTTCATTGGAATGCTCGGTCAGCCGTGCGACGGAACCGCTCGTGACCCGCATCGTCTTCGTTTCACTGCGCCTGTGCCGTGTGACCAGAAATGCTTTCCCGGTAAGCCTGGCCGCCATCCGTCTTCTTCATCTGACAGCTTAATGGTCACAACTCAGCCATGCCGCTACAGCTTCTGGCTTCAGTCTTACCCACCACCGTACCGCATAATTCACCTAAAAACGGTCGCCACCATTCGTCTTCTTCTTGCCGATATCTCCAGCGCGTTATCAGAAACGGGCGAGGTTCCTTTTCATTCACGCGAGGTACAACGCGGCGCCCGTGTGGCGGAGGCTGACCGCTGCTCGGCTTAAGTGCGGGTGGTGTTGCCAGCGAGGGCTGGCTGCCAGCGGGTGCTGCGCGTGTGACGACCCGCCAGCACCGCCACCCGCCAATGAAGGGCCGTAACGACAGCGGAAATCGAGGTCACCGGCGGTTAACTCGCTCCCGCCCATCAGGACATCAGGGTGCGTTTGTGTCTGACGAGGGCGACGCTACGACTGTGCTGAGCGCGCGAAAACGCTGTGAGCAGTGGAGCAAGATTGACGGCATTAGAGGGCCGCGCCTACCAGCCGGAGTCGCTGACTCGCGCGACCCTTCGCCCCGAGGGAACCGCCAGGCTGGCGGCCGTGCCGAACGGTCGGCTGTGGAGCCTGTGTACGCCGGTGGTTAAAACATTTCACACGTTGGATGCCGACAGCTACGTCAGCTTGATTATCGTAATTTGTTTATGGATGTATGTAACTGCTGGGGCATTGGCGCCGCATCCCATGATGGAAAGTGATGCTGGTGAAAGTGTGCTGCAGCGGGTCAGCGCGATTAATTAAGAGATGTTGCAGAAGATAGCCACCCTCTCTAGTTTGTCTGGTACCATAAGCAAAGGAGTGCGATTAATTGAGAGATGTTGCATAAGATAGTCAACCTCGCTAGGCAGCCCTACTACCATAAGCAAAGGCCATGTGGCACAAAATGACCATGGGAGTCGATGCGCTCCTTGGCCCAAATCACTAATTGGCTCAGAAATATCAGGATTGCCTGTAATGTGTATATTCAGTTACTTATGAATATTTTGACTTCCACACGCTATATTTTATCATTTTCGTGAGTCAGGAACCATAATTAAGCAATGTGAGCTTTCGTAGTAGCGTCTTACGGTCCCTACGGATTTTGGCTGCCCGCTGTTCTGTTCCGGATCAATGGCATGCTCATGCGAGATTCTGAAGGAACGTGACTGATATATGGTGAAACCATGCGCGCACATGGCTCCAGCTAGTAATCAGAATTATGAACGCTGACATCAAAATCGAGCGTATTCAGTGTCAGCCCAAATGTGATGGGTTCTCAGCTTCTGAATGGCCAGACTCGCTTGCTGACCTGTGTACTACACAGGTGTTCGGTAGCGATGCCTGCCAGCAAAGCTCCACGCTTGGTCTGATATTCCCTAGCACGCTGTTTTCGTACTTGCTGCTGACTCGGACAAATCCTCCGGCCCGAAGCCGATTAATTTTTACCCTTAGTGAGGGGCATTGAAGTCTGAAGCCGGTGGCTCTGCTCCTTGAGTGAGGAGCGTTGAAGTCTGAAGCCGGTAGCTCGGCTCCTTGAGTGAGGAACAGCGAAGCCGGTAGCTCTGCTCCTTGAGTGAGGAACAGCGAAGTCTGAAGCCGGTAGCTCTGTCCTCTGAGTGAGGAGCAGTGAAGTCTGAAGCCAGTGACTCCGCCCCCAGTGTGCGGAGCAGTGACGTCTGCTCCCTGACCAGCCGCCGGGGGTTCTGTGGCAGGCTGTGACTGGCGCCGTCCGGATAGCCGGCGCCGGGCGCTGGTCCTGGCCTCGCCTTAGGGTGCACCGGGCCTTCAGCCCCTGACCCGGCCACCTGGACGGGCCCCGGGAGAGTCGGGCGTCACAGGAGGAAAGAGCGCCGACCCGCGGTTCATGACTCACCGCTCGGCGCCTCACTGAGCGAGCCAAGCAGGTTCATTTCCAAAGAAGGAAGAGGACGTGACGTTGAAACTGCCGTGATGAGAGATGAGCGTGATATGGGAACATTAAAAAGACATAATCATCCAAATTGGAAGCCAATGCGGTGTCGTAAGTTGACCTCATTTCGATGCAGACCGCCTTTGAACATGAACACGCTATAATCCGACCACCTTCTGCAAACACAAGGCTCAATTTGTAAAGACGCCCAGGGGCGTGGTGCGCTGTTACTGGCAGTTATTCTGCCGCATGCAGCCATGTTTATTGGCTGCAAACACTACCACGCTCCAACGCGACGGCCGACCCCGGGCATTACCATGCTGGGACACGCCTGCCGTTGGCAGACGCTAGTCCGGTCAAGCACGTCCCTAATCCGCCAGCATCGCCACGTTCATGGAAGACGCGTGGGGTCTGAAGACGGCTCCGACGGCGGCTTCACCCAGCTGGGCCCGTTATGCCGTCTGGGGTGGCAGCCATTGCTCTGTCTGCCGCTGAAAGCGATGGCCCCGGTCTTTGTGCGGACATGGCTGCGGCGGTCCAGTGGTGATGCAGATGCCCGGAATGGGGACGCCGTACACCATGACGTGATGGCCTCGGTCGCAGGCGGCCGGGGCGCCTCCACAGTGACGTGACGTCGACCGTGGACCAGCAGCACTGTACAGGCCTGCTTATGTGGAACGTCTTCATCTGGAAACGACAGGAAACCGGCCGTGACGGCTTATTTGCAGACTGGCTCGTGTTTAGTCCTGATGTAAGCCCAACCTAAACAGTACATTATGATGATACATGTGTCTGATAGCTGACTTCATCCTGCATGCGGTGGTCCAGGAAACGTATAGTTTCATTTCTACAATTTGTATCTTTTGTTACGTGCCCCGTGAGTGAGAGGTGGTATGTACAAAGGTCTCTAATCCCTCTCAATTTCACTCCCCCTCCCCATCTATCAGCTGCAAACTGCGCAAAACACTGATTCGTCCGCAAAAACCTGTCAGATGCAAAAACGTCCGCCCTCTGATCCCGGATGAACGAAGCGCATATGTCACCATCGGGTTTACCGTCCTAAAAAGCCTGCCAGCTGGGGATGTCCTGACTCGGCTCTATCTATAGATGTGCCATCTTCTCTCCGGCGTATTCTTACCGACGCGAGCTGGCTTACAGCTTCGTTGGGTTAGTTATCAGTTTGGCTGACTTCAACAACAATATTCGACTGACCTCGTCCGTTTAAGCCACTTTCAGGCGGCGTCAGCTGATTTGTTCATGGTCAGCTGACGTGAGCATTTGTCAGCCGGACTTTAAGGTCGTTTGGTTTGGAAGCGCCTGGCAGCCGTCGGTAGTCACCATCCTACCGACCGCTCGCCTTCTTCCCCCTAGCGATGCAGCTAGCATCACTCACCAGTCTCGTTCGTAAACCCATCTGAACCTGGGCGACTCATCGACCGCGTTCGAAATCAGCTCGAAGCAGCTTCTCCTACATGGAGACACGCCAGTCAGAATCAGGCGCTGAAGCGTGCGAGGATATCAGATGCCTTTAAACTGATTACAAGACTAATTTTGAATTGCTTTCCCCGTGCGACTAATCAGGGCGTCACCGCTACATGGACATCAGTTTGTGGCATGAAGACTTGACGCTGTTGTCTGATGTACACTGTCCCACGGCATTGCCCTGTATTGCCGCCACTGCTGCGCCTTGTCGAGATGTAGTCTGCCCCGCTCCACACTGAGCCCCGACCCCGCCGAGCCCGGGCCATCGCCCGAGGCGAGGTTAGTCACGTGACCTCGCACCAGACCGTGGCTGGGAGACAGTGGCCGGAAATACCGAACCTCACGAGCATCGTCTGTTCCATTTCACCACTCTTCGCGTGACCAAAGTTACTCTGGTTTTATATTGGATTTTAAATTTTAAACGATCCGAGCAGGTAAACAGGCCATTTTCAATTGCTGATGTTAATGATATCATTCATTACTGGTAAGTCAGTGTTAATACAATTAAGAGTTGCCTTATGAACGGTATGTCTATAGCCTCCCCCCCCCCCCCCCACCCCTCAGTTAAAAAGACTTCAAATGGTACTTTCGTTAACCTCGAAGCAACCAACGGCGAGTGAATGTGAAACCATTGTGTGTGTGTATCGGTTGACTATTCCAGTCAGTTGACCAATCGGCGTTGACGACAGTTACGGACTGTTTTGTCACCTGCGCACTCGCGTGCACGTGCGCAACGGCCACAACCAGGAAATATCCGTGTTTTGGCCGTGGATGGCAAGAAACTGACGTGTCTGCGGCTGCTCGCTTCTGCGTTTGGCACCGCCGCAGCCGGCCATCCCCTCTGCCGTCCCCCCTGCCGTCCCTCTGCACCAGGCCGAGCTGTGGCCTGGAGCCGTGCCATGCCCGGCAGTGCCGAGCGGCTGCTGGTGCGGCTCGGGGGCGGGGGCGGCGCGTGACGCTCCGGCGGCGGTCGCGGCCGGGACCGCTACACAGGGCGCGGGCCGCCCCTCCCGGCCGCGCTGCCGGCCACCGGCTGCGGGGGCGTGCGGTTCGTTTCACGCTGCGAATGGCCTTCATGGGAGGCTGTTCAGCCGCGCCTGCCGTAAAATGTGGCGAGAGCGGGCTCGGTTGGGCTGTTTCCAATGGCGGTGGAGGTGCGGTTCCGTGGCGTGCCAGAGTTCGCGTTCGGAGCCGCCGGCTTGCGGAAGGGCTTGTTTTCATGTCGCAGTCACCAACCACCTTTTTGCTCATTTCAAAGGGACGAGGCACGGCGTAGGCATCCGTCCACACCGCACGCTATGTGCTGACGCGGTTTGACAGTCACGCCCCGACCACATTCATAGCAATGCCTGAGAAACGCGAGGCAACCGAGCCTCTTACTCCCACATGCTTTCGAATGCGTTCGTCGGTCGGTGCGCCTCGGCTAGGCGTCTAGCGCGCCGCGAGCGCGGGCGAGCCGCCCCGTCGGTGTGTTTTGTCAGCGACGCCCGGCGATCCGTCACTGGCGTCCGATCCTCTTCCGGTTGAGTTCGCATGGCTAGCCAACCCTCTATTTTCGCCCCACGGACCGTCAGACCCGAAACATGGGTTTATTTATGTTGAATAATCCGCGCGCCGCTTGAGTTATGTGGGAACGACGTGCTCCGATCGATTTATCATGCTCCTAATCGACGTCGACATTGTCGGATACATGGGAAACTTGCGCACTGTATGGTTTGTGATCGACGCTCTCCCAGTTCTTTAGAAGTTTAGATTTGCATGGAAATGGAATATTCGGACGGTCTGTCAATTCCGATAATTATGATCTGAGTGATACCCAGTGCAGACAATATGGATTAAAGCACCAGCCACACTGAGGCAGTCGCCAGTCTAGAGCCACGCGGTTCAAGATGGTGATGGATCTACTGGTTAAAGCTGAAGTTGCCATGTGGATCAACTTATTTGAATCAACCAATGGCGGCACTTTCCAAAAACGATAGGGGACTTTAAAAACTATTCCGTGTTTTTCGATGTCATTCTTTCCATACGTGGACATTATCCTTGACGCTGCGAATTATTTTTTCCAAGAGGTCGGGCCCCTTAAAGTTAGAAAATGACAGCTCTGATAGCAGTGGCATACATGATTTCAACTCCTGCAGGCAGACAGTGCGTTGGCTTCGTCTCACACCTTAAGCTGTAATCGGACGGAGCAAACACGAAAGCAAAAACAAGAAAAAACAAGTGTCTGGTCGTCGCGTGCCGAGCCCGACGCCACCACCTCATGTGTCCGAGTGTCATGTGTCGTACCCACCGCCGAGACGCGGTCTCATGACGTCTCGGTTCGTAACACCGCCATGGAACAACACTACACCGTCACGGCTCGTAGGCAGGGGCACAGCCAGAGCCTTAGCTAGGGGGCGCAGGGCTCAGAAAGGCCCCTTAGCGTGAAAGACCCGCTTGAAAAATATCGGTTGATATGGCCCACTTGTAGTTTAAGCGTACGAATTTAGTTGGTTTTGTTTATATTTTGACTTTTTATAACTAGAACAGAAGCCAAAAGCTGTCGCGCTGTCAATTTGGTTTGCAATTTGAAAGCAATAAACTGAAGAAATCAGGTGTAAGGCTTTCGCATGGAACAAATCGCCAGCGGTCTTCATTTTATAACGGCTCATTAGACCCTGAAACTCGTCTTAACATGGCCAACCCATGTTTTTCCGGAAGTGTTGAGCATTCAGTCAGAGGCGTTAAGTGGGAAAAATAGCGCAATACAATTGTTAATATCCATGATCGCATCCCCAAGCCACCAAAAATCTCTACGCTTGGTGTTGCAGTCTTCATTGGTCGCACGGCGTCGGCCCAGCGACTAACACTATGCGGTGTCAAAAAGACGGGCGAAAATAGGGTGTAGGATTAAAAGAGAAAAGACAGAACAACTACTTTGTGTGCTCCTTAGTTGTTAATCCGTCCAGAGGACATCCCTAGCTTTCAGAAGTGTGCCCCAGTCTAATCTTAAGACGGTGCGGATTTATTTTGAAGGACTTTCGGAAGTCCAGCGTGGGGCTGCTCTTCCTGCTACCATTCTGGCGACACGGTGACGTGGTACCTTGGGCGAGCCGGAGGCCCTTAGAAGGATACATCATATCACACTGGTCCTCCCCCTGACGCGGGAGGCCTTCTGAACCGCGAAGCTGGTCCCGGATCGACGCAGGAATTCTCCTTGACGCAACAAGATTCCTGATCGCCACGCGTGGTCGGATCATTGGCGCATAGACTCCAGATTGACTTACCGGTCCCATAGCTGGAATTAGGTTAGTGGGTGCAATATTCGGTCCTGGTGGCTGACGGTCACCGGGCCTCTCCATTATTTCAATCTGAACTCTAATCATTAGGTCTCGGTTTCTCGACTCGAGGCCCCTTATTGACGAAGGACACTCTGTTAGGTACTATGGGCTGCTGACCGACACAGGAGTCCCGCAACGTTGCAGCGCCCCTACCAATGCAAACTGCGGGCTCGGCTGTGTGCTTGCTCGGGGAATGGGCGGACCCCTCGGAGCTTAAGGGATATGGGGTAGCACGTGCCCCCCGTGCCAGCCCCATTTCTGTGCCACCGCTCGTAAGCGCCCCGCGACGCAGGATGTCGTACGCTCTCGCGGCGTCACGGTACGCTCGTGGCCGGTGTCCTGGGACGCCAGAGCGGCTCTTTCTCGGCAGTGTAAGGCGTCACACTACGCTCGTGGCCGGTGTCCTGGGACGCCAGAGCGGCTCTTTCTCGGCAGTGTAAGGCGTCACACTACGCTCGTGGCCGGTGTCCTGGGACGCCAGACCGGGTCTTTATCGGTAGTGTAAGGCGTCAGACTACGCTCGTTGCCGGTGTCATGGGACGCCAGATCGGTTCTTTCTCGGCGGTGTGAGGCGTCAGACCACTCTCTCCCCCGGTGTCACGCGGCCCAGCCGTTAGCGGCGTCTTCGGCACGTCCCTCGCGTTTCGCCTCCGCGCCGGCTGTCTCACAAAAGCGGCGTCGACAAAAGCGGCGCAACCACTGCGACACAGACAAAGGCGACGCGTCGGCGGCAGACGGTGCCCTGCGTTGTTCCCGGGATGGCACCTAGCTATGAGTGCGGCCGGTGTTCGCGGTAGACGATGCCTGCGCTGGCCATTGTGACGCGCTGCTGGAGTCGCGGCGACGCATGTCCCGGCAGGGGGTCGCACTGCGCGCGATCGGCGACACGGGACGGTGCGTCCGAGAGCTCCGTTGGCCGGGCCACCCGTCACGTCTGTCACGTCCTGTCATGGTTCTGACATCTGTCGTCACTATCATTTTGGTGCCATATGTCACATTCATGACGGATAATTCGTCCAAAATATGCGGTTGGTCGTTAAGATGTGTCATGCGTGGCATATCGGTCATATATGACATACTTGACGAACATGACAGATTTGTACTCTGAAATGAATCAACTTACGTGACACAAATGGTACTAATGACAAACCGGAGACCTAGGTGGAAATGTGTTGAATCTTGGATGCATTTAATCAGATTTATTGGATCTACAGCTACCTGGCATATAATTGAAATGCCATGAATATTTATATATATATATATATATATATATATATAAGTGTCCAGCTTACGTTCCGTCCATACGCGTTCGACACGTATGGGCGCATCGCAGTACATTCACTGCGCCCCGGCATGGCAGCCCAGACAGAGCCGGCGCGCTCCGTCCGCTGTCCACAAATCTGGGTGCGGTGCTGGGCCAGTGTGGGGGCCTGAGAGCGTGCGTGTCTGGCAGTCACGCCCCGCCCGCGAGTCGCGCCCTGTCATCCAGCGGTCAGCCGTCTCACGCAGGTCACACCAACCCCGGCTCACACGGCCAGCGCGGCGTGAGAGCGCGCGTGCATGCTGGACGTCACGCCCAGCTCACCCGTCACGCCCCATCGGCGTGTATACACCCGTCGCCTGCTGAAAGCGTATACCCACAAGTACGGGATCCAACACACGCCCAGGCGTCCCGTCGGTGAAAGACCCGCAGCGAGCGACTGGGAATGTTTCGTGCACGAACTAAGCGTTGCGTGTTTCGAAAGGAAATTCCGCGGTTTTTGAGACGAAACAGGTTGAGCCTCAGAAGACAACATTTGTGGAGTCTCTATCGTGAGCGTACTCTGCACGCTGCCGTCCCTCTCGGGCCGCGAAAACAAACAGCGGGGCTCTCAGCCTGTCCTGCGAGGCCGCCGTTGCGCCGGATTTGTGTGTAGTGTCCCGGCTCTGGCTCTCGTCACTGGCCAAGATTTACGGTGTTTTCACTGGGCAGAGCCAGAGCCGCCCGGCCCGAGCTGAGAAAATAGCGCCGCCCATTATCACCTCCCGAGGGCAATGATTTAGCCTGATTTAGATCAAGCCCGCCCGACGGAGGGCAACAACAAATGCAGCTGAGTCATGAGCTTCTCCACGCACTGCGGCCATGTGCGACCGCCTTGCGGTGTCACGTGACGTGGGGAGCGTGACGTAGGGCGGTTAGGGGCGTCATGTGTCGCTCAGCTCCTCGGATCAGAGTGGGGTCCTACCAGAGGCCTGGTGCTTTTTGCGATAGGATCAAGGCTCAGAAGCTCTCGTCCACGCTACCTTGGATTGGATCGCAGTTTTATTTATTTCTGTGCCGAACACCTTAATCAGCATTAGGAAGAAGCGACACGGCTTAAATTTATAGTCTATCCAACAATCATTACCGGCTTCTGCTGCGCAGGTGCATGGCTTTGGTCTTACAGCTTTGGAGACGCGAGGACGCTGGCCGATAGTCATGCGGGACGTGTTGGACCTGACTCATGCCCCTGCTCCGCAGGTATCTTCAGACATGCAGCTTTGGGGCCAGGAGCGACGTGAAGACCCTGACTGTACGGGACGTGGTGGACTTGGCTGAGCAGGTGACACAGGCCCTGTTGTACCTGCACGTGCAGAACATCTGCCACACAGACGTAGCGGCCAGGAACTGCTGGTGAGTCGGTGGGCTTTGATGTGTACGTGGTGCTCAACACTTTTGACTTCATGTTAACGACTATCATACTTCTCGCTCCATGAAGCAACTGCCTCATCTCCTGACGTCTTATCCTTCTTAGTTGGTTAGGTTCTCACTGGAGGAGGGTCTGGCAGTTTCCTGTGCCAGATATCTTCATCAGAGGCCGAGAGGGGATGGGCAAGTTCGTTTTTGTGCCCGTCCATCCGCATAAGCAGCTAACCAACAACAGAGTCGTCATAAATTTGACGGAAGGCATAAATTGCGGTCCGCCTGCTGGGACCCCTCTGGCGCTGAAAAACACGTTTCGCGGTGGGAAGGGGGGGGGGGGGGAGGGCTGTCAGGCAGAGTTCGCGGGGTGTCCTGATCGATGGGGTGCTTTGGAGGCGTCACATCACTGGCTGCTCCAGTTCCCGGACATCTGACCGTTTCAGGGGCACATGTGCCCGTGGAGGAGGTCGCTGGTGGAACGGTGTTTTAGCTACTATGCCAAGGGAGGAGGCAGATGGGCAATGAGGTCCTTGGATTCCCCTCCCAAAAATCTGACACCGTCCTCCGCTCCGAGGTCCACAAGGTCATGTCAGCCAATGCCGTGCCTGTGGCATGGTATGCTTCCCATCTTTTTCAGATGCCTCCATTCTTCAAGAGATTGATGAGGGTTATAGATGACTATTGGCCACGAGAGTTTCGCACACGGCAATTCTAAACCTCCGACGGGGGCAATAAACCAGTGCCCGTTCTCCTCCACGATAGTGGTTTGACACCACCATCTTCATCATCCGCCGGGATCTCAGACCGCGGCCAGGGCCGTGCGCTGCCGCGGAGCGCCGCTGACGCCCCGCAGAAGTCGAGGCCGCTAAATTCGCTGGCCCGTTAACATAGCGGGGGCCGCCCGGTACGACGCTGAGACACCCGGTCTGGGCCACTGGTCACCGCTCCCGTCGGGCTGCTGCTGCAGAAGCCGCACCTGCCGGGCTGCGGCTGACGGAGGGGCTCCTACAGGAGCGGCTCCCGTCGGGCCGCTGCTGCAGGAGCCGCACCTGCCGGGCTGCGGCTGACGGAGGGGCTCCTACAGGAGCGGCTACCGCCGGGCCGCTGCTGCAGGAGCCGCTCCTGCGGGATCGCTGGTCACAGCTCCTGCCGGTGTCTGGCGAGGGCGACGCGTCAGGTCGGCGCTCGCGCGACGGTTGGCGGATGGCCAGCGGACTTTCGGGGGACGCCCGCGAGAGAGAGAGTGTCCTGGCGGCCGAAGCGCTCGCTGGTAAACTTCAGCGGACACGCTCGAGAGGTCGGTAGGCTGTCTTCGGGGTTCGATCGGCGTCCCACCAGCGTTTTAAAACAGTCAGCGGTAAACGTTATTCTGCGTTTCGTAGCTGAACAAACACTCAAGGATGACATGTGATTTGTGAAGCGAAAATTTGCCGGACGCTTATCGGACACTTGTTTAACGTCGCTTCATGGTTCAACGGACTCCCAACGGATGTTTCGCGGATATCCCATCGGTGTCAGACAAACAAGGCAAGTTTGTTCCCGAAGGGCGTCTTAGTGTCATGGCCCAACTCAAAGAAGTTGAAGGGAGTGCAGATTCTATGGCCGAAAGCGTTGAGCTTGTGGGATTGCGCGAACATGCAAAACACTGGAGGACGCGCGGCGAGACCGGTCGTTCGGTGGGGGGGGGGGGGGGGGGAGGGGGGGTCAACGGACCAGCTTCTGCAATGTGCCGTCACAACACCCCTGTCTGCGGCGACGGTGCAGGAACCCCGTGATGACATGCACGGTCACGTTTATCACGGCGGCTCCCTGAAAGCACGTGTGCCAACTTGTCACGTAACCGAAAACCGCTGCATGAGAAAAAGCCAGCTGGCCGGCCTTTTGCCCAGTCAGATAGCGGGGGTCCCCCGTCAGCAGTCTGTCAGTCGGGGGTCCCCCGTCAGCAGTCTGTCAGTCGGGGGTCCCCCGTCAGCAGTCTGTCAGTCGGGGGTCCCCCGTCAGCAGTCTGTCAGTCGGGGGTCCCCCGTCAGCAGTCTGTCAGTCGGGGGTCACCCGTCAGCAGTCTGTCAGTCGGGGGTCACCCGTCAGCAGTCTGTCAGTCGGGGGTCCCCCGTCAGCAGTCTGTCAGTCGGGGGTCCCCCGTCAGCAGTCTGTCAGTCGGGGGTCCCCCGTCAGCAGTCTGTCAGTCGGGGGTCCCCCGTCAGCAGTCTGTCAGTCGGGGGTCCCCCGTCAGCAGTCTGTCAGTCGGGGGTCCCCCGTCAGCAGTCTGTCAGTCGGGGGTCCCCCGTCAGCAGTCTGTCAGTCGGGGGTCCCCCGTCAGCAGTCTGTCAGTCGGGGGTCCCCCGTCAGCAGTCTGTCAGTCGGGGGTCCCCCGTCAGCAGTCTGTCAGTCGGGGGTCACCCGTCAGCAGTCTGTCAGTCGGGGGTCCCCCGTCAGCAGTCTGTCAGTCGGGGGTCCCCCGTCAGCAGTCTGTCAGTCACGTGTCAGCGTGACAGCCGTCTTGCGGGGTGGGCCGGTGGGCCCACTGGCACGGGCCGGTCTTACGTGGGCCGGTGCTGCTACTAGCCAGACTGGGCAAAGCTGCCGGCATCAGGTGTATCTCGTGGTACATTTCATGTTAAAGTCTGAATATATGTGAACACATCGCCTGACATAAAGGAATATACCTTGAATACATCATGAAATATCAGAATATATCCATACTTGATCGTTAATATAATATGCATAAAAATGATGCCTCTGCTAAGTACATCGTTTAGCACATAAAACATTGTAATGGGAAGCAGTTGCAAAGTACAGCTACTCCTGCATAGCCTTGCATACTACGCGGCAGGATTTCAATGTGGCTCCGTGCAGGATTACTGTCCTCAGGACGTCAACGTGGCCAAATTAGACCTACCATTAAACTGTCGACTTAACTGCACATATCCTGACGGGGGCTGTCGTCGGGTCGTCCGAGAGCGCGAGCCCGGCCCTGTTCGCTGGCGAAAGCTGGGGCGCGGTCAAATGATCCGTGTCACTCGCAAGTGCTCTCGTCACTTGACGACCGAGCCGGCTGCAATGCCCAGCAATGCCCTCCTGTCAATTAATCGCGCTCCTTTCGTGAGAAGTTGAGGCATTGTCTCCGTGTTTGTGGCCGGCTCTTTCCCGGCCGTCTGGTCTGATGAGGTGGCCGGGCGTGTTGCAGCGTGGACGACAGTTTGCACGTGAAGCTGGCAGACAGCGCGCTGTCACGTGACCTCTTCCCGGACGACTACTGCTGTCTGGCCGACAACATCAACCGTTCCATCAAGTGGATGGCGATGGAGGCCATCCTCACCAACCAGTACACACCAGCCGCGGACGTGGTGAGGCCACGTTCCTTTCTCGCGTCTGTAAGACAGATAAATATGCTGTGGGTTCCCCTCGTGAACGCGGACATGGTGCAAATGGCAGTCGTGCCGGGGCCTCTACGATAAGACACTGGTTCCAGGAAAAAGCTTCACCATCTGAAGCAGCAAGTAACATTTTTCACATGGTTTAGCCAATATTGTGTGACTTTGCCCCTACTTTGAACGAAGGCCAATCTGGCATGGTCTAGTCGCCAGAAAATGAGAGACATCACAACGTCAATATTACTATGTTGCGCAATCCAAACATATCTACAGTAATTACAATTGCAGTACATTGTGCTTCTTGAAAGTGTACCGGCGCAACCAGCATTTCGTGTGTGAGGATGCTGGTTTCTGAGCTTTGTACTGGTATCGGAAATACCATGCGGGCGATGCCTGCCACACGTCGCTATCGCTGTGCGTATTAGCAGTGTTTGCGGGCTGGACTAATTAGTCGCTGTAGCGTCCTGATGGACAGCGGTGCCCATTTAGGTCCTGTCTTTGTGGCTATCAGGGTGAGTGCAAGCTCCCTCCGTAAAGGCCTGGTGAAACACGAGATGAGGTGCCCTGAACGGTGTGGGCCATAAGGTGGCTGGACAGGGGCTGATCACACGGACACGCGCTCGTGATTGTCGGACCGGCGCCTCTGAGAGCTTTTTTAATCTGATTTATATGTGTTACCGTCCGCACCATGCCGCTCTTTCAGTGGTCGTTTGTTGTGCTGCTGTGGGGGCTGACCACGTTGCCACAGCAGCCGTATGTGTTACGGCTTACACCATGTCGCTGTTTCAGTGGTCGTTTGGTGTGCTGTTGTGGGAGCTGACCACGTTGGCACAGCAGCCATATGTGGAAGTGGACCCCTTTGAAATGGCCAGCTTCCTGGACGAGGGCTATCGGCTGGCCCAGCCCCTCAACTGCCCCGATAAGCTGTGAGTATAATGTCGCATGATGTGGCTGCGCGCGCCGGGCCGCCACCCTGTGTTGCGGATTTTGGCATTGTCGAGCCCAGTGTAAGAAGGCTTGTTTTTATCACATGATGACACGCAATGAAGAGCCCTTTGTCTGAGCATAATGCTGAAGGCTGCACACCGTCATCAACAGTCGGGATGTGTTGCAAACCATTTGTTACTGTCAGGAAGATAGCGTTGACTGGCGGCCGTGATGATAATGTTCGCTGCTGAGGGTCTGCGCGAGCTGAAGCCTGTTTTACGAGCCACTCAAGGTGCAGCAGACGAGAGGAAAAACGGAAGCATGTGCGTGAAATTCATCACTTGTCGGGTGATAGTTGTCATTGATATGTACTGAGATGGAATCAAATTAATTCAATACCGGTATCAGTGACCGCTATAAAGAGCGGGGCGTGACGTCACTTGGGCACTTACCATCGCACTGGTTAAGGGTGCAGCTGATATTATCCCCATTGCACTCCCCGACCCTTCCTCCCCCAACGGACCGACAGATACACACCAGTTACACTTACGGCTACGGCAGCAGGGCAGCGTTGATGTGCTCTATCAAGGGCCGTAACAAATGGAGATGACGTTTTCTGCAGGTGTAGAGCTCCCGAAGTCCGCAGCTGCAGGGCCTATGCTAAACTGTAACGAGGCCACACTTGAGTGACTGTGACACCGGCCAGATGTTTTATCTGGCATTTTTTCGGTTGATTTAAAGCCTGAGCGTGCTGCATTGGGCCGGCAGGTTTTCTGTGATGGCGTTCTGCTGGAGCCGCGAGCCGGAGGAGCGGCCGACGGCCGAGCAGATCCTCGACTACCTGCACGGCTTCAGCAAGCAGCTCAGCCACTACCTGTAGCCGCGGTATCCCGCACCCTTCAGTGGCTCGGCCCGCTGGTGCAGATGTGGGAGGACATGTTGCATCCGTGCAGTTGGCAGCGCCCGCTGCTCTGCGACGGAGCACGAGGCAAATTGGCCCGCCTTGTTCGTTCAGATCCTCTCGGTGGCTCCGTCACCGACGCCACAACCGTCGCCTGCGAAGGCTTTAAGACTAACCGGTCCTGGTGTTCTACTTCTGGGTCGCTCGAATTCAGTGCAATATGTATTGCATGCAACGCGAGTGAGACCTCTGTGGTTCGGTCACAAGCATAGACATTAGTGTTGGCTGAGAGATTACTGTGATATAATTTAGGTCGTACGGTCTATATCTGCAGCGAGCCGTGAGGCTCCGAAAACCGAGCGCAAAACAGAACGATGCTTAGGTACTGAGTGAGTGTTACATGTGTGTTTCTACCCCATTTTCTAGTCGAATATAATGAATGGAAGGCATAGCCGCTTCACCCAATGCTGTCTTATGATGTTACGGTGTAAACAGCAAAACCTGCTGATTATCTTTTATACCAATCCAGTTTTGCACATTCGTTCTTCCCTCTCGCTCTTATCAGTGTGGCTATGTTCGAACGCCGTATTTCCTTCGCGATCTCTTCCCCCTTGTCTCCGCTCATTGGTAGATGTGCAGGTTATTCCAGTCGTGCGTCCATGCAAGCACGCCAGTTGTCAACGCAACCCCATGTGTGGTGTATTGATCTAGCTGTTGTTGCCCAACTGCGCGCGCCGAGGCTCCGAAGGAGCCCCTGTTACCCTTGCGTCGGATATGCGCAGATGTGGAAAGTGTTTGCATCTCATCTCGGACTTGATGGGAAAATGTTTTCATCTCTTTTCGCCTGACTGAATGATGCTTTCACCTCGGTGAATGCACACATTGGAACTTCTATCGATGCGAAATAAAGCTTGATAACCCTCGCCGAGTTTTGGACGTCCTGCTATATCCTGACCAGCAACAGCTGAGCCCCCGTTATGACGGAGTGCTGACAAAGTCCCCGCAAGAACTTAACGGACCCACATGAAGCGGACCCACATGCGGACACAATTACACAATACCACATGTCTTGCGGACCCATATGAAGTTACATGTTGCTGAGAAGCACAAATGCAACTTCCCCGGGCTGCCCGATATTTTGAGTTCGGGTAATACTTAGCATAACACCTAAGAAAGTTAAGTGGACCCCACAACTCATGATTCTGTCTTAATTCTTTCCGGCAGTCCCTGATGGCGTACGGTAGCCCGACATTGGCACTTCGTATTGAAGCGAATCTTAAGTGTAACCCGTTCACATAGACACATGTCAGTTTCCGCGAGGTTGGAGGGAACGTCCGGACATCTGACTCGAATGAGGGTCAGCAAAGCCCAGCAGCGTGCCTGAATCAGTGGGCCCGACAGTGCGGGGTACGTCGGGCGTATCCTACAGGCCCGGTCCACGCGAGGCAGCATCCACGAAACACTAACGGAACTGCTAGAACCGGGAGCCGAAGTTCAGGGAAGAAATACCCAGCTGCCGATTTAAAACAAAGGCAGACATAGGCTGAAAGTGACAAGCTCTAAGCGCGGGCGACCGCTTCGTCGCTCGCCCTGATGCGCCGCTGATAGTCTCTATCGCAGCGGCGCTGTCGCCAGCTGGACCCGAGTGCCGGACTGGCCATCCGTCAGCGCGACAAATGTCGACTGGCGACCCGCATCGCCGCCCGGCCGCCCGGCAACAGACGGACATCGAAATCGACGGCGAGGATCGTCTGGGCCGACGGCCCGACGCGGGCGGGCGTCCGCATAACGGCGCGGTGGCGATGATTAAAGCAGGAAATATGAGCCGTTCGGGCTGTTTTCATCGAGCCCACGCTAGAGGAGCTCATCAGGAATGGTGGGTTTGAATCATCGTGTTATTTGAGCTACCCAGTGCCAGAATAGAAAATCTGCTCCGATGTGGGCCGTTTCCCAGTCACGTAAAACTAAATGTACCTGTTTACGAGCCTCAGGAGGCCTATCAATTCCCTTCAATTTATCGCTCAAGAACATAAATGTCGCCAAAGAGGACTACAAACCAGCCGCCGAATGTTGCCCAGTCGCTGCCATGGGGTCACCGCTCACCGTGTGTCGAAACCCAGTCGTCTGACACAGGTTTGCAGGCAGAGGCGGGCGGCACGCGATTCTCCCGTCTTTAACCCGGCATTTAAAGGTCTATCAAAACGACTCCTTTTCAATGATCTACCAAATATTTACATACGGGGTGAGCGTGGGCGGTCAACACTCGCCGTTACTGTTCAAAGAATGCGAATGCTACAACCTCGGTCCAAGTGAGCTTCACCCCAGGTGACTCAACACCCCTACCTTCTAAAATTGTTGCCGTATGACTAACCTCGAATTCGTGGGCACAATCATGACCGCAGCTCATTAATGTCCGCTAGACACCCATACAGTCACATATAACTGACCTTAATGAAAGGCATATTGAGCTTTACGACAACCTCCCCACAAGCACTATAGCCCATTTGGCCACAATTTGGAAAGTTTCCGCCTCTGCATGTTCAATACACCCTGGTCTATTCACTGTTGATCCAGCAATCTGATCGGACCATGCCCTGCGTGTCACACAACAAGAACACACATTGGCGCCCTCCCTCAGACAGGGGCGGCCAGCCATTTTGCATCGATCTTCACGGCCCAACACGTATGATTACATGAACACGGCGTGCTCGTTGGCGGGGGCTCGTTATGTGTGTCCATGCTGTTATTTGGTTCCATACGTGGCGTCATTACACTGTCAGCGTACCCAACAAGCGCATACAATATTCAATAGTGGGGCTATTTACAGAACCGTTATTGGACTTTTCCACGCGGAAAATACCAAAACCAGAAACGTCCATCAGAGAAAGCGGCTATATTCGCTGTAATTTTGTTTATAGAGAGTTATCAAAATCCGGAAATATTTGATCTTGTCTCAGGTAACACTGTTAGCTCAGTCGCCAAGACCGACACTAGTTGGCAAGCGACGAAGTTTCTATATAAGCAAGAAAGTGCATTGTCGGCACCACAAAACTGAATTGGACATTTGCTGCACAATTCTGACGTCTGGTAACCCCTTTAATCAAGCTCATCAAGCGTAAATACAATCTACGTTCTACTGCGTCGTGGAATATATGCCAGGAGTTATTAATTTCATCACTTTGTCCTATGTGTAAATGACCAAACAGCTGAAAGCTTAAGAAGCATTGCGCAATGTCTCAGCTCAGAATACGGTTACACACTATGCCTGCACGCACTTTTTTGAAACCGGTGCAAGTTATGCTTCTGCTCCATACCAATGGTTCCACGTTTTTAATATTTCCATTTTTACACTACCACCCTGGCTGTCATTTCGAGTTTGTGAGCCCCGAGCGGTGTGGTGGTTCGCACACCCGACTCCTTGGCAGCCCGTCCACTGCAGTACAATGCCACGGCGAGGTTTGCATGTCATCATCATAGTGGGCCGGCCAGCAGCGGCCATCCCACGCGGCGACCCACACAGTAATTGTTTAGGTGTGCGGGAAGGGGTGTCCCCGCAGTAAAGAGAGGGGTCCGCCCTGATAGAGGCCCCCCTCGCCTCCCGCCGGACAGTGCAGTGCCGGTGCACCGGCAGCTTCCCTGCTCATCGTCAGCCACGTGCAACATGGCCTAGTGCTGCCGGGCACGCGGCGGGACTCGGAACCAGCCGCTATCCGTCCATCTCCCCCCCCCCCCCTCCCGTCCCCCCATCATTACGAATCCGTCACGAGTGAGGGGAACGGGCCCGGCATCGACCAACACCACGTCACCCGTCGGCCGTCACGCGGCGTCAGCGGCGCCGGCGAGCCGGCCGGCCGTGTCCCTTCTCTTCGACCAGTTGCCCAGCGGCCCGCCGTGCCCGCGGGCAGCGGTCGAGTCCACCCGCTGTGCAGCGCACCAGCGTCCGGCGCGGCGCCCGCGACGGCCGCGGCAGGCGCGCCCGCACGTCGCGGACGTGCGTTCGCTCACGTGCACGCCGCTGCACGCCGCACGCGCCTCGCACGGTGACAGGGCGCTTTACGACCGCGGCACAGAGTCGTGCCGGTGGGGTGCGATCGGTGCATCGAAGGCCGGCCGGGTGTCCGGCGCACGCACAATGCAAGACAAATCGGCCGCTGGCGCGCCGGCCGGCCGATGCAAATGGTCCTCTGTGGTGGGGGGGGGGGGGGGGGGGCGGGGAGGCGGGGGGTCGGACGGCGCCGCGGCGGGGTACGGGGAAGGGGCGTGACGGGGAGAACGCGGCGGCGCCGGCAAGGTGACGGGACGTACGCCTGAGGGTGGTGGGGGTGGCAGGGGTGGCGCGACCCCCCACCGCCAGCAGACGGACTCTCACCGTTCCTCGCACCGCCCGGCGTGTCCTGTTTGTAGAGCGATCTTATCTGCGGCCGGCGAAACAATGGGGAACCGTGGAGCACGGCAAGGGTTTGTTTTGAACAAAGTTGGACGGTGGTAGAACAGTGGAAAGTGGTCTTCCGTATCCTCGCGCACACTGTATCTGCTGTTTCTTATTTTTACGCCATCAAAAACACGGTGAATCGCTGAAATGCAATGACCAAAATTACCGTGCGTCACCTTACCAGCAGAGGAACTGCTGACGAGGTGGCACACCTCACCAGGAGTGTCACCGTTTGTTTAGTATGCAGCTGCCCAATCGAAATTTATTGGCACCTAGCTAGCACGCAACACAGCTGAGATTGGTCGAATACCGAATAGCTCTCTATCAGGTGGTAGGAGCCTGACACCTATGCTTTCGCATATGATCCGGTCGAGCCTCCCACCACAGCTTGCTATCATCACTGCACTTTTCTGACTCAGGTAATGGAGTGGGGAATGATCGCTGGCAAACGGAAGAACACAACTGACCAGATCACGACTGAACGGACAATAACCAGACGGCTGTTCACAAAACCGATACGATAACGGACCTTGCTACAACGGAACAGAGCTTGCAGCCAGAGCAGATCCTGACGGAGCGGGCAGCCGGACCAGACCCCGACGACGCACAAACCCTGACGCACAGACGAAAACCGGACCCGTCCCGACAAAACTGACAACCGATCCAGACCGGCACAGCGGAAAGAAGCCAGGCCAGACCCGGCAAAGTGACGACGACAGCCGGAGCCCGCCGGCAGACAACACAGAGGCGGCTGGCGATGAGACTAATGAACCCGTACATGGAATGTGTCACGCGGCAGCTGACGGACGGACCCCAGGGCCGGGCCCGGCTGGGAGGTCCATGACGCCCGCACGGCCATTGATTTATGTTCGCGTCGCCGCGCCGCCCAGCGCGGCGTCTCCGGCGAACCCGACGCGGCTGCGCGGCGCACGCCGCATCCGTGAGCGTCGCCTGAATTATTCATGCGACATGCTCCATGTTAGCTGCAATCAGCTCGGCGGCGCCGGAATCAGTGCCGACCGCCGAGCGTGGCGCGAGATGACTCGCTCTGCTGAGCACGGGCGACCGGGGCAGCCGGATTTATGTGTCGGTTTATTTGTGTTATAGATCAGAGCCATTCCTCAGCTGGTTCCTGAGCTCGGCTGAAGCTTAGTGACTGCGTTTATTATAAACAGATAATAGTGATGATTTCCGCCAGCGCAAACATGTTCGGTATACTGCGCGTGTATATCATCTATGCGTGCCTGCGCTCGTCTCTGGCCGAGCAATTCGAGCCTACTGATTATTTCATTGGACGGTAATCGAAGCAGGTTGTATGCCAAGCAGGCACACCTGCTAACGTCAGATCAAAGCGCCAACTTTATTAGGCCTCATATCTTAGCAGCAGCGTCCATTGTTTATTTCCAATACACAGCGAGGTGTCTGTACCACCGCGTCAGCAGGTGAGCTCCAATGGCTCACAATCCGTCGACCGTAGTGGTGAGACGATG